CAGAGGTGACGTCACACTTAATGATTACCGATGGCACCATTCATTAGACGGTGCCAACGACTAGGCCAGATAGAGAAAACACGGCAGGAGAGCCCCAGCTTGTGCCAGCACAGAAGTCAGTCCGGGTGGAGTAAGAGCTACAGAAAAGTTCTATCTAGAATACAAGTTAAAACTCTCGCAAACCAGTAAGAAAAAGACAAATCACCCAATGAAAAATGGGTAAAATACAGTCTATTCTGGTTATTTGCGGTAATTATTTCCTATGAGGGCGTCACAAATGCTGAATAAGCAAATACGGAGCCACGGCTCCCAGGGGAGAAGGCAGGGGTGGTTTTCTGCGCGTCCGTGGTCATGACATTTTCATTATCCAGTCAACACGGGACCTTGTTCTACGTGTGTTTGTGTTTGAAGACCTCTTCCGCAGCGTGTGTTGATGATGCATTAACGTCGAGCTGAGGGCCAACAGCACCGTGACTCCCGCCTGAAGGAAGCTTATCTAACACACGTGTTTTTCCGTGGGGCCCGTCACAGCCTTCTGGTGCTCGGGAACTCTCGAGAGCACCTCCGCGCAGAGCTCAGGGCCGCCCTGCACAGCAAATCACCCACAAGCAGCCCCAAATGAGAACTGACTAACACCGTGTTTACCGAGGGGCGGCTGAAGTAAGACCGCAGGCCTCGGGTGGGACGTGCGCACAGGCAACACACGTTTCACTGCCCTGCCCACGTCCGTGAGTGACAGCGAAACCGCCGGAGTACTGGCTTCGGAGTTACGACGAGATTTTAGCGAGTAAGAAACTGTGCAGCCAGGGCATCTGCAGATAAAGAGGACAGGCTCACTGGCGGGCAATTCAGCGGTCACTAAACAAACAAAATATGTTCAACTCCCTCTGTCTCTGCCCCTCCCCCTTCTCGTGCCTTCTCTCTCTACCAAATAAATAATAAGTAAAATCTTTAACTAACTAACTAACTAACTAAATAAATAAATAAAATAAAAAGGAGGTAGGAACAGCCGTATTATTGTCAGGCAGGAATGAATTCAAAGCAAAAAGCACCAAAAGGGACTAAAAACAAAATAAAAGCTGTACAGCCTCAAACCTGTAGGCATTTAGGAAAATAAAGTAAGGAAGAAAGGAAGGAAGAAAATTGATAGAAACTGACAAACCCAGAATAGGTACGGATGAGTTTCACATATTTTCAGAGATCTATAACCTATGTGGACAAAAACCACAAAGACAACTTCAATAACACACTTAACACGTGTGATCGCGTAGAAGAAGCAACCTACGTGTGACCACCAACGGAACATGCTTATCTCTTGAAACGACAGGAAAGACTCACAAGAACGGACCACATCTAACTGGCCCCAGAGAAAATTGCAGCCAATCACCAAAGTAAAATACGTCCCCAAATCACTGATGACAATGCGACAAGAATCAGAAATTCACAAGAAAAACCTATGTGCCTGGAGGGAAGGGGAGAAATGCAGCCAAAGCATTATTCAGAGGACATGTTGTAGTATTAAATGCATTTGTTTGAAAAATTAAAATGCTTAAGAAAAACGACTTTTTCAAGAAATTAGATGGACATAAAGATCAGTGGAACTACTACACACACACAGACATACACACACACACCAGAATGGCTCAACTTAATAAAAACACCAAGCAGACCAAACGCTAGTGAACCGGGCAGCGACCAGAACTCTCTTCGCTGCTGCTGGCAATTTAAAGGTGGCACAAGCACCTTTAAAAAGTCTGGTATTTTGTGGTGTTTCTGACCAAACTCGGCACACACACCCTGTGAGCCAACGATACCACTCCTAGTATTTACTGAACAGAAATGAAAATATATGCCCGCCAAAACGTGTTTGAGAACACCCACAGCACCTTATTCCTAAGAGTCAAAGGGGCAAATTACCTGGGCGTCCATCATCAACAGGAGAGTGGATGGACCAACGAGTGTAGACATACAGTGGGACAACCTCCAGCGACAAGGCAGTGACCTGCGAACACAGGCGCAACACACGTGCGCCTCAAACACGTCCCATGAAGTGAGAGAAGCCAGTCTTGCGTGGCTACGTGCTGTAGAATTTCATTTCCAGAAAATTCTAAAATACATAAAATGAGTCCATGGCAGAAAAGAAATGAGAACCGTGGCTGCCCAAGGAGGAGGGAGCTGCCCGAGAAGCTGCAGGATGGAACTTCCTAGAAGGACAGGAATGTTCTGTGCCTGGGCAGGGGTTTGCACAGCAGGTTTTTGCACTTGCTGGACCTTATTAAGGCGATACGTCAGATCTGTGCGCTTCGCTGTGCGGTGTTTTAACTCCAAAGCAGCAGCAAGACCAGCACACAGACACCCAACTCTCGTCCACGCCGCAGCACTGAAGTTCAGGGGCACAAATACTTGTAACTAGTTGTGGAAAACATAAAACAGACGGACGGATGGGTGGGGAGAGAGGCCGTAAGGCCAGCAGCGGGAACCGAAGTGGCAGGGTCTGGCTGCGGGCGTACGGATTGGATATCACTGTCATTCTTTCTACTTTTCCATACGCTTGTAATTTTTCATAATACAATGTTACGAGGGGCGCCTGGGTGGCTCATTCGGTGAAGCGTCTGCCTTGGGCTCAGGTCATGATCTCAGGGTCCTGGGTTCAAGTCCTGCCATCGGGCTCCCTGCTCAGCGGGGAACCTGCTTCCCCCCTCCCCTCTTTCTTGCTCACAGCCATGCTGTCTCTCTCTCTCTCAAATAAATAAATTTTATAAAAATATATACTGGAGGAAAAAAGAGAACCTTAATGTTTGAAGAAAGTGGTCTTTGACAGGACAATTCAATTTAGACGTTAATTTTCACCAACTTTACCTTAAAATTCATTATCATTCCAATCGAAATGCCACCAGAATTCTTCAAGGAAATGAGGGCGTTCTTTAACAAGACACAGCATGAACACCATAAAATTATCGGTGACTACTGCTAAGCGACTGAAAAATTTTAATTTCTGTATAATCAAGCAGAGATAAGTAATTACTAAAACTCAGCAACGCACAACGTTAGGGCGGTGGGGAAAGACTGCAAAGAGACAGTTGACCAAGAGGAACCACGAGTGTCAAGGAACGTCTGTCGCGAACAAGCCAGCCAGCCGACGTGGCCGCTGCGGGTTTTCCTCCTTCAGAGCAGCAAACACGAACAGACTCGGTGGTCACCTTGCAAGTTTAGGCCAACCGGGTCTTCGTATGGCACAGAAGCAACCTGTGCATGCCTCCGGGGCGGGATCGCTTGTAACAAGGAGCATCTTGGGGCTCCTGGGTGGCTCAGTGGGTTAAAGCCTCTGCCTTCGGCTCAGGTCATGATCTCAGGGTCCTGGGATCGAGCCCGGCATCAGGCTCTCTGCTCAGCGGGGAGCCTGCTTCCCCCTCTCTCTCTGTGCCTGCCTCTCTGCCTGCTTGTGATCTCTGTCTGTCAAATTTTTTAAAAAGTCTTAAAAAAAAAAAAAAAGGAGCACGTTCAGAACGTCCCCTAGAGAAACGAACAGCCATCTTGGGACACACACAGAGCAACCACAACAGATGTAGGATGGGAGGTTCTTGTCACCGTGGGAATATCACATGCTCTGCCAGGGACAGAGATGGGGAGAAAGTCAGGGAAATTTAAAACAGGCTGACAGCCCGCTCATCAGGCCAGTATGGCTTTTAGGTAAGAAAGTCAACGGCAGTGGGATGGGGTATCCTTCCAGGTAGGGGTAAATCCTGAGAGAGGTCCCCCCAGCACCCCCACGAGACTGTGGAGGCGATCCTGGGGCCCAGCCTGGGGGGACGGGATGGGGAGACGTTCACGTTCCCGGAACGGCCCACAGGATGGACGGCAACGTGCTGCTTTAATCCTTCATTAAAAACCAGAAGAAAATAAGTACAAAAATATTGCTGAGTTTTTATATGAATTTTAAATATGCAAATAGAATTGATATTTGCCTATCTAATAAACCACATTGTCCTTGTATGTCTGTGTTATGTAATATTTATAAACATAAGATGTCCAAGTATGGAAAAGTAAGGCAGGGCCACTTCTGAAGTCACGGGCACCTTCTCCAAAGCCGCCCAGCTGTGGCTCTGATGTCACTTCTCCTTGCCTCGCTCTCCGCACAGCTGACTGTTGACACGACCGCTCAGCACAGGATGGTCTCCAAAATCTACCCTCTGCAGATGGCAGCCGGCGTACGCTACCAGGGGCCCCTGTCCCCGCACCCACCCCAGGGGCCAGTGTTGCTGAGAATCCGGGGGGCCACGGAGTAGCCCACGTTAGCCCACACATAGCATCCGTGTCACTGTTTGCAACATTTGGGGGTGAAGCAATAGCTTTCTGATCTGTCGGGACAAGCAAGGGGGAGCCCAGGAGCCCCTGCGAACCTCGAACACAACCCCAAGGAGAGTGGCTCTCGTGGTCAGGGTGACAGAACGTGGAGGCTCTGGAAGAGAACGTCCACAAATGGACGGGTACATGGAGAGATGAGACACCGGGGAAAAGACGCCTGGGTTCCCAGCACCCAGCCACGGTTCGGTAAAGACGCACGAGCCAGAGCTCTGACCCTCAATGTCCTCACCTCTGACGGGGGGCTGACGCCCGCCTGCGCCGGGGGACACCCTGAGGTGCGTGGCCACACCTGCCATCGACCCGCGGCTGGTGGTGCGGTTGTGAGCGCGGCTGGGATTTCTGTGAGCAGCGCTTCCCTGTCTCCAGGACCCGGGTGTCCCCAGCTGTCTGGCCCGTACATCCACACCCCTTCCAGCTGCCTCGTGAGGCCCCGATCCCGCAGCCGCTGGCCTCACGACGCTTCTCCCTGATGCGAGGCCGTGGAAACTCCAACAGGGTCCCAGCCCCGAGCCACATGCTTGTGTGAAGTCCAGCCAACTCGGTAGACAGGTCATTGTGGCATTTCCACCCCGGGTCCTTACATAACGGAAGCCCTCGGGGAATGAGAAAATGGTTTGAGGGAAATGGATACTTACTGAAAGTGATGATTTGGGCTGTGTGTTGGACCTAAAAAGGAAAAAAAAAAGGCAGGTTATTAATCCTTCATGATTTGGAATCAAACCTTCTTCCAGCCCCGCCAACGGTGAAGCAGCCACAGCCCAGTGGGCCCATTTGTGGTGAGCTGACCTCGGGCCCGTGCTCCGCTGCAGCCTGAGACGACACGCCCGGGATGCAGGAAACCACGGAATGTGGACAGGGCCTGCTCTCTGTTTATGCAGAAACATTTGGAGATATTTTTGGAGTTTTTGCCATCTTTTCTCACTCTCTCCTCATCTAACCTTGACTCACAAGGTCTGTTTCCTAGCCGGGGCCCGAGCTGTGTGGAGCCCGTGTGCCAGGGCTGGGGCAGTGCGGGGACCACCCCCCCACGGGGGTCAGAGAGGACGCATCCCGCCCCATCGCCCCGTGATGAGCGTGCACGTGGGGGACCGTCACCACGCTCTGCTGCTGGCCCTTCCTCTCGGCCAGGCCCCGTCTTCTGTGGACAGCAGCCGCCTGTCCCCCTGAGTGTGGCCAGCCTGGCCGTGGGTCCCCCTCCACCTCGAAGCTCCCCTTTGCGTCTGGGGTGATTTTCTGCTCACCGGGTTTCCAGCCCCCTGCGTCGGTGCCTACTTTCTGTTACGACTAGTAAATGGGGACCAGGTCAAGCCCGGACCTCGTGCACGGCGAGAGGCCTCGGGGAACGGTCTGATTTCCTTTCTGCCGCCCTGGGCGTGCTCAGTGTCCAGCGGCACGTTCGTGTCCTGGGGCGGGGCCGGGAGTGGGGCTCCCTGCGAGCCGCCGGCCGTGGCCCCGACTCACCGAGCCGCACGAACAGCACGCCTGTGGCGGTGATGGTCTTCACGCCGTTGGTGGCCACGCACTGGTAGTAGCCCGTGTCCGTCGTGTCCAGGTCTTGGATCCGCAGCCGGGATCCGTACTCCGTCTTGCGGACGATGACCCGCCGGGGCTCCTGCACCACGGGCGCGTCGTTCTTCAGCCACCGCACCGTGGGCGCGGGGTTCCCGGCCACCTTGCAGTGCAGGATGGCCGTCTGGCCTTGGACTATGGTGATGTTGTTCACCGGCTCCAGGAAGTTCAGAAAGTAGCCTGCGGAGGAGACAGTCACAGGGCAAGGCTGGGTGAGGCCCGGAGGACGGCGCTGCTCCTGCGACCTCTCGCCTAAACGCGCTCCATCCCCGTCCCTGGTGGTACTCATGTTCTAGAGCGTTCTGAGAACACGGAATGAGCCAACCGCTGCTCCCAGGGAGATGAGGACAGGATTTCCGTCAGTCATGGCACAACCTCATTTTACCCATGTTTCTGTCTGAAGACCCCTCGTTAACAAGTATTGTTGACTCGCTGACACAAGGTCACCGCCAACACTGCGGCCTGAAGGACGCTTATCTGACGCGTGTCTTCTCCGTAAGACACGTCACAGCGTTCTGGTGCTTAGAACGCGAGACAACACTTCGCACCATCACTGCAGGGGGTTTAAACAGAGAAATCACCAACAAAAAGCCAAAAAATGCCAAAAGCCTGAGACTAAATAGAGACCACAGAAAGGACACCTGTTTACAGTCTGAGCGGGAGCCCCCGCGGGAGTCACCTGGTTGGGCCTCCGTGAGCGATGTGTGCATCAGACGCACTCACGACTCCGGGCGGGTCTGCGAGTGACCACGCAAGGGCACCGTGAGGCCTGATTTGGGGGCTACGGGTACACTCTGGACGGCAGGAACTTGGAAAGTGGAGCCCCGAAGACAGGATCAACGGGGCTGCTCTCTGCCAGCACCGGCCTCATCTGATCTCACGGACTCATGATGCAATTCGCGCTCAGAAGAGCCGTCCTCCCTCAGTCGCACCACCAAGTCAAGCCTCAAGAAGGAATAATTTGTCACCGGACACATCCTCAAAAATGAGCTAATCCTTGGCCTGCACAGAACAGGGACGTCAAGGCTGAGCGCTGCTGAAGGCTGTATGTGGGGCAGGAGCGGGAAGAAGCTGTGCGCGGCTCCCCGCGGGGCAGGGGAGAGCAGGGCCACCCAGGACCTGGAACACAGAGCCAGAGGGGCTGGAATGTGGGCTCAATCCAACCAGGGCTGGGGACTCTCCGCAGATGACACAGGCCACGGAGGACAAGAGGAAGTGAAACAGACGGCAGAGGAGAGGGGTGTGTTTGTGTGTGTCTGTGTGTGCATGTACATATGTGGTGTGTGGTGTATGGGTGTGATGTGGTGTTGTGTGTGTGTTGAGTGTATGTGTTTGTGTGGTGTGTGTGTGGTATAGGGAGTGTGTATGTACGTGTGTGGTGTGTGATATGTGGATGTGACGTGGAATGTGTATTTGTGGTGTGGTGTGTGTGTGTGTGCATCTGTAGTGTGTGTGATGCATGTGTAAATGTGCACACATGTGTGTCAGGAGCTGGGAGGTCATGCTGTCAAGATAAACACGCACGCTAAACTTCCATAGCACACACAAACCCTACGGTTAGATAAGACAGTCAGCCACGAGGAGAGGAACTCACCTCCGACAAAACTAAGATAAGAGAGCAGTCTGGAAATGACCATCAAATATAGTCACGCTCTGAATCTTCTGGCTTGATTTCTGGTAGTTTCCTACCCTTTTTTTAAAGAAATGAAGTGGAAAGATGGCACATATCTGTTAGGAATCTGTTAGCCTTCACTGGATGGGAAACTACAGCGTTTCCAGTGGACCCTCGAGGTACGTTTCCCAGGCTGGGTGATGGGCCCAGATGTTGGGTGACGGGAGGTGGCAGAGGGGATGGGAAGCTGTGGATTTTATGAGGGAAGGATGGTTCTTCTTGACAAGGGAGAGTGGACGGATAGCTGTCTGAGAATGTCCCTAATTAGCACTAATCATTATTACCCACATCATTAGATTCAACCCTGATTCTCTCCTGACCAACCTTTTCTCAGTGCTCTGGATTCACTTGTGGACGAGAACTCTCGTGGAGGACACAAAGCTGTCATGTGAGGGACATGTTGATGACATCCCCCTGGAAGCAAGTAGGGTGATGTGCTGCCTGTACGCTCTTCATGAACTCAATTGCTCACTGGACTTGGGGAGACCTGGTTCCTGTAGCTCCCAACCTAGACCCCGAGGCCCTGAACACAAACCCAGTCTGACTTAACCGTTTGAAGTGGTTCCTTGATATAATCCTCGTCACAGAGGAGGGGACACTCACCCCTTCCCTGTGTTCTGGCCAGAGCTGAACTGAATCAGAGGGTTTCACAGGAAGCACTTTCAAGTTGTTTAATATTGAAACACTTCATCAAGGTTGTATCACACGAACGCAGAGTAGGGCTTATAAAATTGTCATCAAATTGTAATGAAAATAGCAAATGATGCATTAAAATAACAAAGATCTCTTCTTGGCCTAAGATGAATTATAATTCTCATCTCCACACTAATGACAGCTCCTCCAAAGACCGGTGACAAGACTCACCTCTGTCTCCATCACCAGGTCTCCAGCTGGTGCCTCAGACTCTTCTGTCTCCCTCTTGTAAGGACGTCTGTGATGACACGGGGCCCACCTGGATCACCCAGGATCATTTCCCATCTCAAAATCATTAACTTACTCCCATCTGCAAAGTCCCTGTACCACGAAAGGTGACATGTTCCCAGGATCCCGTGACATCTTCAGAAGAGCAATATTCTGTCCACCATGTATAATTTTCTTTTATCTTTACTTTACTGAACTATCTTATTAGCTATAATAGCTTTACTGAACTATCTTATTAGCTATAATAGCTTCTGAGCTGACGGTCTTGGATGTTCTATGCAGTTATCTTCTTCAAATAGCCAATAGTGTGACCATTGGCAATTTGCTTTAAAAGTTATACTGTTTGAATATCTTTTTACCTAATTATTTTGCTCAGTGTTAGTTCTTCCCAACTTAATTTTAAATACTGAAATGGTAAAACACACAACAAATGCGAATAGAAATATAATAGACACAAGTGCACACACTGGTATTTTATGCTAAGATTTTACCATATTTGACTTGGAACACTTTTTTAAAAAAACTAAACATTCTAGGATTCAACGAAGATCCACACTTTCCCATCTCTTCCTCCCTCTCCTGAGAACAGGTATGCACCATTCTGATGCACATTTCTATTGTTCTATATTTTTAGAAATTTTCCCTGAAAGATCTTGCTAGTTTTTTTCTTTTTTTCACTTGAAGTCAGCTTGGGATTTATCTTTGTTGATGTTCATTTATCTTAATGACTTCATGTTTCACAGTACAAACCAACCATGATTTCTTTACCTTTTCCCCAACTGAGGGGCAGTCAGCTGTACCCACAATTTTGCTTGTGTTCCATGACCCCCTGTATACATGTGTCATCTCACACACATACAAAAATATCTGGAAAGGATCCACCTGAGTGCAGAAGTGATGTCACGGGGCCAGTGACATTTTATTGGTAAGAATGTGTTTTCTCGGGCAGCCTGGGTGGCTCAGTCGGTTAAGCATCTGCCTTTGGTACAGGTCATGATCTCTGGGTCGTGGGATCGAGCCCCACTTTGGGCTCCCTGCTCAGGGGGGAGTCTGCTTCTCCCTCTCTCTCTGCCTCTCAGAGCTAGTGCTCTCTCACTCTCTCTGATGAATAAATAAATATAAATCTTTAAAAATATGTATTTCTCTAACTGCTCAGGGCAGGGATTTACATATGCCCATTAGATTAAGCTTGTCAAAATTTTCAAATTGTTAACGTTTGTCTCTTACTCTCAGCGGCACCTGTGTTCACTGATGGTGTGTTTGTCAGATGACTATTAGCAATTTTGTCAAGTTGTGTCTATATATTGGAAACTATGTTGCTGGGTGTCTAAACTTCCCTCTTTAGACCACAGTGTGAGGCTTCTGTCTAAAAGAGAACTTGTCTGACATTAAGGTAGATACCTCAGGGTACTTTGGTCTTACACTATTTTTAATTTTTTAAATCATTTTTAGGATTGAATTTTAGAGATGGATCTTCTAAACCACATAAAATAATTTAACGTGTTAGTTGATGCGTCTGTATGTGTGAACTATGGGTTTTTTAACTGGCAAATTTTATTTTTAATGTTTTCATTTTGCATTTTATTCTTCGTTTCATTTTAATCCCCCTTTCCTATTTTCTACTGGATTTCCTTATTCTCCATTTTTCCCTTACTGATTTATCGGCCTGTAAAAGTTTCCCTTAGGGAAGAGCAGGTGTTTTCTAGGTGTTTTCTCATCCTGTTTCGTATCTGCTCTTTAGGTAAAGGACTGAGGCTGTGAACACCCTCAGTCTTGGTCTGAGGGTGACCTCTGACTTCCCCACTTGCCTAACAGTTTAGCTGGGTATGGGATTCTAGACTGGAGATTACACTGCCACCTCCGGGCGTCTGTGTCGGCTGCTGCAAGTCAGGCTACCTTCCTCCTTTGTGGGTTATCCGGCCTTTCCCCTCGTAGGCTACTTGTCCACAGTTCCCCTGTCTTTGCCATTCCCATGTGTCCCTAGCTGCGGATTTATTTGCACGTAGCATTAATGGGTCTTAGTACCATTCCCAATTCCATCAATTCTGTAAACCTCCCCATCAGTCCCTCATTGTTTCTACAGCCCCTTTATCTCTCCTCTGAAATCTTCCAGTCAGATGCCGAACTTCCTCCTGTGGCTCCTCAGTGCATTTCACTGCTTTTACTTCCCCGTCTCTCTTAAACTCCAGCTCTGCACCCTCCGCTCCTTGACCTGCCCATCAGTTTTCTCAGTTCTCTGACTACAATTTTTTATTTCTAGAAGGTCTGTTTGGTTTTCAAACCCACCACGGCCTTTTCTTCCTTTATCTTTAATCCTTCTGGCTTCCTTGTTTACTAGCTCACCACTCATCCCAAGCCTCTCCAACTGTGCTTTGTAATTTTCCACTGTAGGCCTGGTTTTCCTGCGGGAACCCCTTCAGGACTGGGTTCCTGCAACAGGCAGTGCCAAATTTTCATGTTTCATGTTTTCTAGGGCCTGGGATTCCCTGAGAAATTTCCCGTCATGTAAACTGGGTTTCCTGAGGTGTGGGTCCAAGTGTGATTCCTCATGGTAGTGGCTTCTGTGCTTGCCCCTCTGAGCCAAGGT